TCTTGAAGAAAATTATTTTGATCCCCCCCCACCGGTGCACATTGTTTTTTTCGATTGAAGTGCCACCCCCGGGGCTCGCACTTTGTTTTTTCTCAAGGAAAGTCTTCCTGCTCAAATAGGAGCAAACAAGGCTCCCGCCTGAGACTTTCCTTACAATTTAGCCAGGACCCCGCTCCCGCCCGAGACTTCCTCGCATTTGATTCAGGAGTCGCGCTCTCTCTTGGGACTTCCTTGCAATTCATTCAGGAATCGCTCTCCCGGCGCTCTGGAGTCGCGCTCTCGCTGGAGACTTGCTTGCAACTTACTGAAGAATGGCCTTGCGTTGGAATTTCTTGCAATTTGCCCAAGCGCCGCGCTCCCGACACCCAGGCACCCATGAGTCGCGCCCGTTGTGGCCCCATGTGCATGCCCTTCGTGGCCCCGCTGTCGCCATTTGTGTCCCCCTCACTGCCCTACGTGGCCCAGTTGCTACCCTCAGTGACCGCATAGTTACCTTCTGTGGCCCCGCATTATCTGCACTTCGTGGCCCCCGCTCGTTCGCGCTCTTCGTGGCCCCATGCGCATTCCCTTCGTGTCCCCGCTGTCGCCCTTCGTGGCCTACTTCGTGCCCTTCGTGGCCCTGCTGTCGTTCTCTCTCGCTCTCGCTTTCGCTCGTCGTCGCCGTCGTCGTCGTCGTCGCCGTCGTCTTCGACGTCGTCGTTGTCGTCGTCGTCGTCGTCGTCGTGGTCGGTCCCCTGTCCGTCCCTCTTGGGGTCGGGTCGATGGTCCGCGGCCGCCCCGCCGATCAGCGCTGCCGCTGGCCAGGCCGACGGTCCGCGCCGCGGCCGCCCCGCCGCTTGCCGGGGCCCGGCCTGCACGGAAGAAAGGTATACCCCCCCAAAGGGGTTCGATCGAAGACGAAGAGGGCGGGTACCGAGGTTTTGGGAAATACGCGTTATTGGACACTCGAGCATATCAGGGCGAACAGTCTTAAACTTATTATTATTATTTCTATTATTATTATTGTTGTTGTTGTTGTTGTTGAACATTATTACTTCTAAAGAATAATTATTGTTGGGACCCCTGGTGCACGACCCCCCTCCAAAACCTAGGCCGCAGCTACATTTTCATCATTTTTTCGCGAAAGCTTCAGAAAAGTGGCATTGGTACACGGATACGGTGTTTTGTTGTAATCGTTTTTCCCCTTTTTTGTTGTGTTTTTTTTTTTTTCATTTTTTTTTTTTTTTTTTTTTTTTTTTTTTTTTTTTTTTTTTTTTTTTTTTTATTTTTTTTTTTTTTTGCATGTCTTCTTTTTTTTTTTTTTTCTTGTATTTTTTTTTTTTTTTTTTTTTTTTTTTGTTTTTGTTTTTTCTTTTTTTGTTTTTTTATTTTTCTTTGTTTTTTTGCTTTTTTTTTTTTTTGTTTGTTTTTTTTTTTTTTATTGTTTTTTTTGCAAAAAAAAAACAACTATAAATGAAAATTTTGTTCTTACTGATTGCTGTCGCAAGAATCCCTTGCAAAAAAATAAGGTAAAGTGCACATTCGCGCGCGCAAGACGAAATCCTTCCAAAACCTTAGGTTTCGTAACGATTTTAACATAAAAACATCAAAAACCCAATGGTTTTTTACGAAAAAATTGTCAAAATGTCCTTCCGCGCGCGCTGTCCGAATCCCACAAAACCAATGGTTTTTCAACATTTATGTTACATGAGCTCGCGCGAGCTACTTTTTCTTGTTCTAACATAATCAAATTTCAATAATGCCTTGCAAAAAATAAGGTAAAGTGGACATTCGCGCGCGCAAGACGAAATCCTTCCAGAACCTTAGGTTTCGTAACGATTTAAACATAAAAACATCAAAAAGCCAATGGTTTTTCAAAAAAAAATGTCCAAATTTCATCCCGCGCGCGCTGTCCGACTCCCACAAAACCAATGGTTTTTCAACATTTATGTTACATAAGCTCGCGCGAGCTACTTTTTCTTGTTCTTACATAATCAAATTTCAACATCCCTTGCAAAAAAAAGTAAAGTGGACATTCGCGCGCGCAAGACCAACAAAAAACACGACGATCTCAGGAACTTGCCCCAAAATTGTGACCAACTCCGCTCTCTCTGTCTCTCTCTCTGTCTGCTCTCTGTCTCTCTCTCTGTCTGTCTGTGTCATGTATTGTATGTCACAATTGCAGGATGCTGGGCACACGCGCGCCCCGAATAAGTGACCAAGTTCTGTGGGTGTGTACCCCACGCCAGTGTAGTAGCCACGGTCGTCCGCACGCCACGAAGTGAAGTGTCCCAACGTCATAGGGCGGGAAGCTGGGTTTGGGGGGTCGCGAAGAGTCGTGTGGATATTTGGTAGAGCTTGTAATGCCCCCCCACGAAGTGGGGGTATTGTCTCGCGTTCGCATGGAAAACGACCTATGCACGGGTGAGAAACACTGAACGGTCGTAAAATGATTGTTGTTGTTGTTGTTGTTGTTGTTGTTGGGTTTGTTGTTGTGTGTTTTTTGTTGTTGTGTTGTTGTTTTTTGTTGTTGTTGTTGTTGTTGTTGTTGTTGTTGTTTGTTGTCGTCGTCCCACCCGCGACCCACCCGCGACCCACCCCGCGACCCACCCGCGACCCACCCTGCGACCCACCCGCGACCCACCCGCGACCCACCCGCGATCCACCCCGCGACCCACCCGCGACCCACCCCGTGACCCATCCGTGACCCATCCGCGACCCACCTGCGACCCACCCCGCGACCCACCCGCGACCCACCCCGCGACCCATCCTCAAAGAAGGAGGAACCACCCAGTCCCCACAACTGACGTTTGCTAAGCGGCCCTATCCTGTTCGATTCATACCTTGTGTGCGTTTTCAGAACGGCTTCGCTTGTCGGGGTGATTATTCTGGGGTGGATTTTCTGCCCTCTACACCCGCGACCTACCCGCGACCCACCAGCGACCCAACAGTGACCCACCCGCGACCCACCCGCGAACCATTTGCGACCACACGCGACCTACCCACATTGGTTCAAAGAAATAATCGGCGCCTGCGGCGGGCTCTTTGTATAATTTGTGAAACTGTCGCCCGCCTGAGGCGGGCTTCTCCAGAGTCTCGCAAAATGCCGACGTCCCCACCGCCCCCTCACTCTTATCCACATCTGCGGGGTGCTACGTATACATGTAACATGTGCTCTGCCCCAGAGGTCCCGACCATTACTGTTCTCTTGAGGGTCGTCTTGCGTGGCCCGATAGCCCCCCCCGTCCAGGAACGCTCGATTGCAAAGGTTTTACGGCCGGTTCCGCCGACCCTGGAAAAGATGTCAAGAAGGAGGAGGGGGAGGAGGAGGGGGAAGGGGAGGATGAGGAGGAGGAGGAGGAGGAGGAGGAGGAGGAGGAGGAGGAGGAGGGGGAGGAGGAGGAGAAGGAGGAGGAGGAGGAGGAGGACAAGGAGGAGGAGGAGGAGGATGCGGACAAGGAGGAGGACGAGGACGGTGGGTGCCGCCCGTTCCCGCTCGTGATCTTCGGAGGCTTTCCCTTGATTCGGGCTCCCCCTCCTCCTCCTCCTCCTCCTCCTCCTCTTTCTCCATCTTCTGCTCCTCGTTCTCGTTTTGCTGCTCCTCCTCCTCGGTTCGTGGGCCATTCTTCGTCGAGTTTCGTCCAGTCTCGATTTCTGCAGGTTTTAGCTCCGCTTTGGGCCTCCAGGATTTTGTTCCGGAGACAGAGTATGTCAAAGATGGACTTGTGATTTAATATCTGGTTCCTGGGATGGTGTCGGGACCTTTGGGTTCGTCTTTGACGCTTCTGGGGGCCTTTGGGGAGCCTCTTGGTGGCCTCTTGGTGGCCTCTTGGGGGCCTCTTTGGGCCTCTTGGGGGCCTCTTGGGGCCTCTTGGGGCCCTCTTGGGGGCCTCTTGGGGCCTCCTGGTGGGCCTCCTGGTGGGCCCCTCGGGACCAAGGGCTCGAGATATCCGAGCCGTTTTGGCGGGCTCTTGGGCCGTCTTGGAGGCCTTTTGAGCCGTCCTGGGGCGCGCTTGGGCCGTTGTGGGGCCCTCTTGGAGGCCTCTTTGGCCGTCTTTGGGCGATCTTGGGGGCCTCCTGGGCCGTCTCGGTGCGTCGGGAAGCCGAAAAGGCGAGAACGGCCAAATCCCTCACAGAAAACTAAGGGAAATCTATGCTTTGTGCCTCTTGGGTTGTCTGGAGGGCTTCTTGGACATCTTGGAGCGATCTTTCATGCCTCTCTTGAATTATCATGGACCTGAATTGCCGAAAGAGGGCCAAACTTCCTCGAAGGCGACCCGAAAACGGGAGGGAGGGATCGTATTCTGGCCCAGGACCCCCCACCCCCCGGGACCCCCCTCCGGGACCCCCCCCCAGGACCCCCCCAGGACCTCCCCCGAAGGGAAAGGGGCTTCCCTTCGGCTCGAGTAGGACTTCGATTATGGCCTGGCTCGATTCACTTCGAGGTTACGAGCTTGGCAAGCCAAAAAGGCCTTGGGAGGGTCACCGAGAATGGAGAAAACAAATCGACTGAACGCTTGTCCCCCAGGGTCACTCTAGGACGACGGGCCCAGAGCTTCCCCTCGCACACGCCGACAGGGCCGGCGGGTTTCGCTAATGGGAAGCCTATCGCCGACCTGTCGACGATTTATCGCCGATTTCAGGCTGGTGTGTCTCCCGAACGTTCCCCCTCAGGAGGGCGAGCGTTCCCCCGGCGATCGTTCACCCTCAAAGGATCCCCTAACCTATCCCCATCCCCACTGGGCCATGGCTTTGTAGCTCGCCGGGTCAACATGCCATTCGAAACCCGCTGCAACACGCGCATCTCCCAACTCAGGTGGGTACAGTCGGCCCGGATTAGTAGGTCGACCCTGCCAGCTCAAGGGTACCCTTGTGTCCTGTGCCTCGCGACACGTGCCTTCTCACAGTCCTATGGCGATGCGCCCTTCGGAAGGGTCTCGTGTCCTCTCGCGTGTCCTCTCCAGTGAAGTCCGACTGCACGTCGGCCAGTGGGGCCATGGATCGGCCCAATCAGCTCAGAGGAGGGCGACGGCGGCGGCGAGGAGGAGGCTGGCGGCGGGGGGGGCGCCGCCTCGCGGCGCTCGCGGCGCTCCGGCGTCGCAGGCGGGCGCGCTGGCCCGCGCCCGGGCTTCGTGGCCGTGCTGGACGAGCAGCGCCCACTCGAGGTGGCGGGTCCGCGGTGCGCCAAGAGCAGCGATGGGCCTATTTTCCACCACCACCACCACAAGCTGGAAGGGGGAAGGAGGTGGAGGACGAGGAGGAGGAGGAGGAGAAGGAGGAGGAGAAGGAGGAGGAGGAGGTGGAGGACCCCCTCCCCTCCAACCATAATTATAGTGGTGGTGGTGGGAAACAAACCCATCAAGCAGATCTCCGACGGTCTCTGACTTTCCGGATCCCAGCGCTTTTCTTGGGTTGGGTTTCGGCCTCTGGGGCCTGGCATCGGCCCGACAACAGCCAAGATCGGGTCCGGGACGCAAACCTGCCGCGGGGGAAGTTGGTCGGGGTCTGGCGCCGAGGATTGGAAACATCATACCGTCGGATGTCTGTGGCCCCAGACCCCCTGGCGTAGTGTGAAGAGATCACGACGGACGGTTTTTGGCCGTTTTCGGCCTTGTCGGGCTCTCTCCGGGCCCCGGGGGGCCGTCAGTGAGCTGCCCGAGATGATAAACTGGCTCCTGGGAATCTTCCTCTGGCTGAAGCTGTATGTATGACTTTCGCTCGTATCTTCCTGCAGCGATTGCGCACTACAGTAGCGGTCGAGGTACCGGCCTGGATTCCTGTGCTCACTGATGCAGGTCCCCTTGGGAGCGCGGGCTGGGCCAGGAACAACCAAAACAAAATCTGGCTCCTGGGACGAGGTCCGCGCCACGTCGGGGGTCTGGGAAGGGTCAGGAGGGAACAAAAACACACAGACACGATCAATCGTCGATTCCCCGGAAAATGTTGGAAAATATGGGAAGTGGGGGGGAAGACGAAAATCAAAAAACAATTGAGAAATATGGGGGATCCTGTTAGTGGTGTGTATCTATTTGTGTGTCCTCGGGCCCCTTCAAAGGGGCGGGCGGCGAGAGGTGCGAGGGGCGGCCTCCCGAGCAGGCGGCGGCGCCGCCCTCGCTCTGCGGCGAGGCCTCTGGGTGTCTCTCCGGAGGTTCTCGCCGCCACCTTCCGAGCGCGCGTGCCTCGGAGATACCTGGTCAGGAGGGATCCCGGGAGGGGCCCCGAGTCCGAGGCGGGCCTTTATACATGACCACCGCCTGGAGGATCAATTTCGGGAATCTCGGCAGGCGGTGGATATGGACATGTTCGGACGGCCGGGGGCCAACATGTATCCATATCCACCGCCCATTGGACGTCGGTTCCCAGGCGGTGGATATGGATAAATCCCCGCCTCGCACCGAGGCCTGTCGTGGGCGGACTCTGGTCGGGGGCGAGGGCGCGGTCTCCTCAGAGGGGAGTGGGGTTCAGGGGCCACGTACTCGGGGCGGGGGGGGGAGGGGATAGGGTCAGGGGGGGGTGCACCGACCCCCCCTCGCCCATTCGTCGCCGATGGGCTCCCGATAGCCCACACCGCCCAGGACAGTGCGGTTTCGCTATCGAGGGCGTGTCGCCGACCTGTCAGCGAAGCATCGCCGATTGTATTGCGATGTTTCTCTCGCTGGGCCGGTCCCTCTCCCCCTGTCGTTCCCCTCGGCCCGCCCCCCTCCCCCCCCCAGTGCGCCGCTCCCAATGCCTCTCGCCACGGTGCGCTCTGACCATGATCTCGAGGCGCATCCGGTCGTGGTGACGAGGGCATCCCAGGATCGCCTGCCACTGAGGGAGAGAGGAGAGAGATAGGTCCGACGGTCCAGCCGAGAACCCCCCAGGGGCGGCCCATCGGAGAGGACCTTTTGCCTCCACAGTGCGGCTGGGCTTCCCAGAAGGCCCCAGAGGGCGAACACGAGGGCAGGGCAGAGGCTTGATGGCACCTCCTCCTTCGACCCCCCCCCCACACCGAGGGGGACCACGACCCGCCGCCCCTGGCCCTGGAGGAGCTCCTGGGCGGCGGCGTGCGCGTGGCCGGGCAGCCGGTGCGCGTGCCCGCCCAGAGTCAGCCACGCCCAGAGGGGGGTGGGGGGAGGGGGGGGAGGCTCCTCAGAAGGAGGCTTGCAGTGCCCGCGCCTTCTGAGAAGGAAGGGCGCTTCTCAGAAGCCCTGCCCCCTCCCCCTCCATTCTGCTCCTGCTCCTGCTTGTGCTCTTGCTCTTGCTCCTGCTCTTGCTGCTGCTGCTGCTCCTCCTCCTCCTCCGCCCTCCTCCTCCTCCTCCTCCTCCTCCCTCCCTCCCTCCCTCCCTCCCTCCCTCCCTCCCCTCCCATCTCGGCCCGGCGGCGCCAGAGTTGGCCCCGCACCCCGTCGCCGTGGGGACCGCCAGGCAAGCGGGAAAGAGTCTAGGCTGCTAATTACGGGGAGGAGAAGGAGGGGTTGCGGAGGGAGGAGGAGGGGACGGTCGCGCAGAAGGCGCACGGGCAAGGGCGGCCTGGCAGGGGAAGGGGAGGGAGGGGGAAGGGAGGGGGACGGGGGGCGGCGGTGTCCGTCGGCGTGGTGGTGGTGGTGGTGGTCAAGCTGGTTGTGGTCGTGGTGGTCGTGGTGGTCGTGCTGGTGGTGGTTGTCGTGGTGGTCGTGATGGTGGTGGTCGTGGTGGCTGGTAGGTGTGGTCGGTTTGCTGGTGGTGCTGGTGGTCGTGGTGGTCGTGCTGGTGGTGGTGATGTTGGTAGTCAGTCAGCTGGTGGCTGTGGTGGCCGTACGGGCGGCGGTGGTCCTGAGAGTCGGCCGGGCTGGTAGTGGTCGTACTGGTGGTTGGTCACGTGGTGGTGATAGTGGTCAGCGCCTACCTCCCCAGGGCGCTCAGGATCATCTCAGCATTGGTGCGTGAGATGTCCCGCCAGATCTGGCTCAAGAGCTCGGACCGGTCGGCATCCTCAAGAGAGGCGCCGTAGCTCCGAACGAAGCTTACTGCCTCGTCGGACGGCCGCCCCCCGGTCTCGAAGACCATCGGGACGAGGTCTAGGCCCTCCCCGGGGAAGTACCGGCCCCGTTTGTCGTCGACCATCTGGGCTGCTGCGAGCCCGTCTCGTTCGGCTCGGGCGTGCCTGCGTGGGGCGTAGGTGGAGTGTACGCAGGTCACCGCCCAGTCGACAAAGATGGGTCGACCGGTGCTGGGGTCGTGTGTCCGGATGTCCAACTTTGCCTCCTGAAGAACTCCGGTGCGGGGATGGCGGCGATCCCACGCTGGAACGTGTTGTTCCGTCGGAGCAGCATGACCCGTGATATCCTTATGCATGGATGCATGTCGGTCCCGGAGGCGGTCGTGCCGGGCGGTGCGGGATTGGCCCACCTCGCATGACTTGGCCGCACAGCGTGCCGTCTTGTCGCCGGTGTTGGCAGAGCGAACCGGCGGGGCAGACTGGCGCTCGCAGCCAGCACATGAGGTTCACCTCGAAGTGCCCGTCTGGCTGCAGAGGGTCTCCTGGTTGTCGAGGTTGGAGAAACGCCCGAACGCCAACGCAGCCGCACTCCCGGAGCGCCAGCTGGTCGTTTTCAGGGAGCTCCCGCAGCAGTCGTTCTCGGTTTTTCCTGGAGGCCGCCTTGCTCCACATGCCCTTGAGCTTAGCGTGGGGTTCCTGAAGATTGCGGGCCCAGTCGATGGGCTGTCCGGCTGTCGCCCCCGAGGCTTGTAGCGCTTGCTCGGCTTGGGCGAGCGCTTGGAGGGTCCTGGGCACCGCGTCCGAGGGAGGGAGGGCCTCCTCCTCTCAAGCCACTTCTGGTCGAGGTTTCTTGCAGTTGCAGCGTCCGCTGGCAACCCCAGTCCGACCAAACATGTTTCCGGCGGTAAGACTCCTTACGGCCGGAAAAAAACCCAGAGTGATGCGTCTCACTCCGAGCTTTACCTTTGCCTCCTCCTTCTGGTGGACCTCCGCCTTCTCCTCCTCCTCCTCCTCCTCCTCCTCCTCCTCCTCCTCCTCCTCCTCCTCCTCCTCCTCCTCCTCCTCTTCCCCCTACTGTGAATTGTACTCCATACAATGCAGTTGCTAGTGTGTTTGTGAGGATTTCTGACATAAGATGTTAGATACTTCCCTCCCCCCAGCATGCATGGCAGAGCAGTGTGTAGCACGCAGTGCAGAGCAGCGGTCAAGACAGCAAGCACCATTGCCATCTTTAGCTGGAGAGGCCTCTCGGCAGACCAAAAGGCTATCATCACCCTTCCCCGCCCGCAGAGCGTGATCGGGGACGGTGTCGATGACGTTTCGGCCGAGGACGGGAAACGGATTTCGAGTTGGGTTCGACGACTTCGGGAGCGTTGAGCGGTTGACATTGGTAGCGGAGCAGGAGCTCCACGGACACGGACATAGAGAAGTACTTCAACGATGCCACCACCGGACGGCAAAGGGGGGCGAGGAGCAGCAGCAGGAGGCGCGCTCGGGCGCGCTGCGGCGGCTGGAGATGGACAGCAGCTCTCCTCTGGATTCTTGGGGCGAGCCCCAGAGTTCGACGGCTCGATCGACGGGTACAAGACCTTCCGACGGAAGGTGGAGATCTTTGCAGCACGGGCTCGTGGACGAGAGCAGGAAAAGACAGTAGGCTTGGAGATCATAACGGCCGGGCGTGGGAGGTGGTCGAGGACATAGACATCGAGAAGCTCGAGGAGGAGAAAGGATGGCGGACCATCCAAGACGCGCTCGACCGGGCGTACAAGTACGACCAGATCACGGAGCTGCCGACAGATTTCGATACGTTTTTCTTCAAGTCAGCTCGCAGGCCCAAGGAGACGCTGATGGATTACCTCACGAGGTTTCGCACGGCCGAGCGGAAGGTTCGCGCACGCGACGTCAGCTTACCAGACAAGGTACTCGGCTGGTTCCTGTTACGACGGGCAGGGTTAGACAAAGAGTGCAAGCAGCTGATCACGAACCAGGTCGGCGACAACCTCTCGCTGGACAAGGTCGAGAGCGAGATGAAGAAGACGTTCGGCCTGGACTCATTTCCAAGTTACAGAGCGAGCTCGGGAGCGGCAGCATACACCCTGGACGACTACGACGACGAAGATGAGTACCAGGAAAAGGCCTACTACGGCCACGAGGAAGACGAGTACTACGAGGAAGCTGCAGAGGATCAACAAGTGTATGCAGGGCCCAGCTTCGACGCAGAGGCGGCCTACTACAGCGAGACGACTACCATGAGTGGCACCCCCATGCCGGACGTCGTATGATGTGGATCAGTACGACGAGATTATAGCAGCCTACACGGACGCGAGGCAGAAGATGAACGACATGAGGTTGGCGAGAGGTTTCTACCCAGTTCTTGCGATGGTGCCGCCACCACAGAGAAGCTCAACGGCCATCGTTCCCAGGGCCGGCCAGGCTCGAGGACGAGGCGCGGCACGCGGCTGGCAAGAATACGTACACCAGCGGCTGCGGCCGAGGTCCACCTGGACGAGGTCAGTCACCACACCCGCCACCTATCAGAGCTACAGAAGAAACGATATGCCTACGATGCGGAGGTCGAGGCCGCTTCGCCAGGGACTGCCCGCACGCGAGCCGCAAGAGACAGCGCGTGGGGGGGGCGACGCGGCCGAGGCGAGGATGGTCACGGATGAGGCGGAGGACGTTTACAACTCGACCGAGCTGGAGCCATCGGAGGCGATGCAAGACAGTGGAGCGACCAGCGTGATATTGGGCCATGAGACGCTCAAGGGCTACTGCAAGCAGCTGGTTGCCAGAGGGTTCCCGGTCAACAAGATGAAGATTTTCCCGTGCAACAAGAACTTCAGGTACGGCAACGACGCGACCGGCGAGGCGACCGCATGTGTCATGGTACCCTCCTTCCCTGGCGGCAAATTCGTGGAGATCCTCACTTACGTGATCCCCGGACACACGCCATTCCGTTCGCTAGGCTGGTGATGGAGGAGCTGGGCATGGTCGTGGACTACAAGAACGAGAGGGCATGCTGGGATGGTGACGGCAAGTGGTTTCAACTACGCCAGCAGCCCAAGCGAGGACACTTCATCATGGACATGCTGGAGAGCTACGATGAGTGCATGAAGGAGCGCGCCGACCAGACCCTGTTGCCGCAGAATATGCTGGACCATGTTCGCATGCAGCACCCGATCAGCCCCTGCACATTTTTGGGTGACGAGGTGCTTGGCTACGAGGAGCTGGTGGATTTCATCGGCAACATGGTCGAGATCGACAACAAGGTCACCCCGACAAACGACGACATCCACATAGCCAAGGACCTCAACGTCAAGCAGCTGCGCAAGTGCCAGGACGCCCTCCAGGCGGCCAGCAAGGAGATATATCAGGAGCTGAGCAGGGCCAAGGACGTCAAGAAGGGCAAGCGCAATATCTGGGAGGTTTATGGCGGCAATTCGGAGTTGACAAAGGAGCTGAGGCAGCGCGGGCACCAGGCTAGGTCGTTCGGAGTGCACAACGGCTGGGACTTCAGCAAGCCCAGCGCGCAGAAGAAATTTCTCAACCTGATCGACGAGGAGCAGCCGGACGACATCTGGCTCAGCCCCGAGTGCAAGGCTTGGACGATTATGCAGGAGCGAGGCTGCAAGACCGACGAGGACAAGAAGTTGTTGCAGCAGCGGCGTGCTGATCATCATCGCACGCACCTGATGTTCTGCAAGCAGGTCTACTACAGGCAGTGGCAGTCTTATCGAGATGCTCACCTTGAGCAACCAGCTACGGCACGGAGCTGGAGGACGAAAGCGCTTTACGAATTGCCCGGACATCACGTACTATTCGATCAGTGTATGACGGGACTGGAGATCCCAGGAGAAGGCTTGGCTCGGAAACGCACTGGACTTCGCACGACACGACGAGGAATGGCTCAAGGGCTCAACGAGTACCAGTGTGATAAGCAGCACAAGACCGTCCACCTCGAGGGCAAGATTCCCGGTACCAACTTGCACCACACTAGCTTCGCCGAGAACTACGAGCCCATCCTGGCGCAGATCCTGAGTGACCTGCTGGAGCAACCACCGAGCCAGGACACCGACATCCTGGTGTTAGGCTTGAAGGAGGACGAGGACGCGGTGGAGTACATATGCCATACGACGGTGGACAGCAACGAGGCAAAGCAGACGCACCATAACACGATGCTCAAGAGCGAGTTCGGCCAGAACGTGTTCGGGTACGTGGAGCGCCTGCACAAGAACCTGGGCCATCCCAGCATGGAGGTGTTCGTGAGGATGCTGACGGCGGCGAGCGCCAGGGAGGAGGTCATCGCCTGCGCCAAGCACTACAAGTGCGCCAGCTGCGCGGAGCGGAAGCGAGCATCACAGCCACCGAAGTCAGCACCAACATCCTGGACGACGTTCAACCAGGCGCTCTACCTAGACTTTTTCGAATTCAAGTTTCGCTCGGGTTCGGCGAGGATTGCGCACATGCTGGACGGAGCTAGCCGATTCCAGAAGTGCAGGATCGTGACCCGTGAGACGACCGCCGAGGCCGTTAAGTCCATCGAGAAGGCGTGGATTCGGCACTACGGGACCCCGACCAACCTCGTGATGGACGAGTGTGGCGCAGCATGCAGTCAGGAGATGCTCGACTGGGCCAGCAACCACAACATCAAGATGCGAGTCGCGCCTGGCGAGGCTCACCAGGTCTTGGGCCCCGTGGACCGAGCTCACCAAGTGACGCGCGAGACGCTGGAGCTCTGGTTCGAAGAGACCGGCCTGGAGCGCACCACCGAGAATCTGAAGGCAGCACAGGACTACGTGCCCAATCAAATCAACAAGATGATGCACCACAAGGGCTACAGTCCGGCACAATGGGTCCATGGCTACAACCCCGAGCCGAACGACCCCCTGTCCGCAGACACTCTACACACGCCAGCAGCGGAGGCCTACTCGGAGGAGGAGACCTTCCAGGAGGTGATGCAGGGGCGCGTGGCAGCAGCTACGGCATTCAACAAGGCGGACTCGACGGAGAGGCTTCGCAGGGCTTTCCTGCGCAAGCGACGTGACACGCACGACTCGGTCAACGTGGGCGAGGAAAGCTACTACTGGCGCGATCGCGGGGCCAGCAGGCTCCAGAAGTCACGCTGGAGGGGACCGGCCACCATGGCGTTGCGCGAGGACTCTGAGAGTGGCCAGCCCAAGATCTACTGGGTCACGCACGGCGGGAGTCTTCTGCGGCGCAGCCCGGACCAGATCAGACCCATCGTGGAGCGGATCGGCGAGCCGAAGCGACCGACAAACCTGCAGGCCGCGCAGGCCGCTCTGCAAGGACTACGACGCGGAAGTATTGTGCAGTTCTTCGACATCAGCCAGTTGTCCCCGGCCCCAATGAGGAGGACCACGCTGGCGAGCCGATGGAGGAGGACGAGCCAGTTTCAGCTACTGGGAGTGTGCCGACGGTGGAGCAGGCCATGGCGGACCAGCTCAGGCAGGTGTCTGCTCAAGGCTCAGAGTCGCAAGCGGAGCCTAGGCCTGCCAGCAACGAGGAACCCACACCGACGGTGACCAACCAGGCCATACCAGATGACGACGATGCCGATCTTCCACCGCAGCCAGCGCAGCAAGAAGCACCAGCAGTTCAACAAGCACCAGCTGAGTCACCTGCTCAACCGGTGACCGATGCAAGGGCAAGGTTCAGGGAGATGCGGAGGAGCCAGGACGCCTCGGAGATGGCACCACTACGCACGTTCTCATCTCAGCGAGACCGACAGAGCAGCGTCAGCCGGTCGGGCCCCTATGACAAGGTGGAGATCGCAGAGGATGCGATGTTCATGAGCGTAGAGGTCCTACCCAAGGGCTGGAGCTACGACGTGGAGGCCATGGCGCTCAACCTGGACTTTGAGGAGTGCTACGCGGCTGGCGAGCTGAGCGAGAGGAATATGAACGCTGAGGACAAGGCCAAGTTTGCGGAGGCGAAGCGCGCGGAGCTCCAGAGCATCTTTGACAACCAGGTCTGGGAGCAGGACAAAAAGGAGGTGGATGACCCCAAGAAGGTCTTGCGTGCTCGGTTTCTGCTGAATTGGTCGAGGAACGCTGATGGGAGCCACCGAGCCAAGGCGCGGTTGGTGATCCAAGGGTTTCGCGATCCAGACGCTATAGCGGGGACACTGGCCAAATCTTCACCTACGATGACGAGATTGAGCAGGACGTTCATCGTGCTCCTGAGTCGCATCCATGGTTGGATCCTGTTCACGGCGGACGTGAGCACCGCATTCCTGCAGGGTAAGCGCTCGGATCGCGGCATCTCAGTACTTTTGCCATCCGAGGCCTGCAAGATGCTCGGGTACCAGCCTGGAACGAGGATGAAGCTGCTCAAGAGCACGCGCGGCCTGAGCGACGCGCCGAGGCACTGGTGGGAAAAGGCTACAGACCGCATGATCGGGCGCGGCTTCGTGGTTCACCCCCTGGACCCCTGCCGATTCCCGAGCTACCGGCTGGACGAGACTAACGTGAAGGTGTTCGACGGCGCTATCGGGCTACATGTGAACGATATGCTAGGAGGCGGCAGCAACCAGGAGGGCCAGGCGTGCTTTTCGGCGCGCGCCCAGGAGCTCAAGAAGGTTTTGAGCAAGGGTCCCTCTTTTTGCGGAGACTGATTCTAGAGAAACTCTGGACTCGTCGTGGCCAGAGGCTTCGGGAGTCTGATGCCTTAAAACTCCTTCTCCCCCAGGGTTGGGGGGGGGGGGGGGGGGGGGGGGCGACGAACAACTTGAGAACGAACGGAAGCAGGGAAGAGAAGCGACTGGACGGTTCCTGCTGTCTCTGCGTGGACAAAGGAAGCCGAGAACATCGCCAAGACGGCCCCTCTGCTCATGCCGTTAAAATACCTCCAGAGCAACGGTCTCTCTTTTTTCGGAGACTGATTCTAGCGAAACTCTGGGCTCGTCGTGGCCACAGGCTTCGGGAGTCTAAAGGCATGCCTTTAAAATCCTTTCCCAAATCATCCCGAAAGAAACCAATGAGGATGTTCACTTGGGCGGGAAGAAAAAAGGTGGGTGAAGCCAGCTCTAGTTTCAACGATGCTGGCCAGCAGAGTCGAGACCATGGCCTTCGCCATATCTCTGGGATATTCAGAAGCGATGCGTGTGCGACGGAGGCCACCCTGCCCTCCGCCGCTCAGCTGCCAGCGCGGGCGTTGGGTCTTTGAGCATATACAGCCCTTTGGTCTACATCGCTGGGTGAGCTTAGTCAGATCTTCAAGATTCACATTGCCGCACAGAATCCGAGTAGCCTTCTTCCACTTAGCGCCGTACTGGCACTGGTCGAGCTCGACTAAAAAGACATGCTTACATTGGGAGAGCTCGCACATTTCTGCAGTATGCCAGAGTCGGCTGGTCAGCGGATGCTCAAGCATGACAGGAATGCCTCGCCGCAGAAAACATCTGAACAAGGACAGAGCGACTCGAGCAAGACGATTGCCGAGGTGCACAGCTGCCGCATCGGCAGCAGTCAAAGGAGAATCGTTGAAACCCCAGGGCTGATTGTGACTTCGCACGGGCCGAGATCTGTCATGAGCTAGCGAAGAGGTTCGGCGCGGCGGGGCAATCGCTGCAGCCACTAGCCGCCCACCTCGGGCGTCTGACTTGATGGCCCGCAGGAGGACTTTTGGCGAAATCAGGTCCTGCCACTCTGCATCATATATGACGTCCCACCTTCGCGAGCGGAACCCCAAACTGTCGGCTGCATGTGAGATGGCTCTGCAGCCTGCAAGAAGATCGGCCAGGTATTGTTCTTTTCCGAAGCGAGAACGATAGAGCCGACCCCTAGATCGAGCCCCCCTGTAGCCGAGATGCAAACGGGTTAGTTTTGCACTAGACGCACGCTGAAGGGCTGCCCCATCAGGATCTGGGTCAACTGCCTCTCTGCCTGCTCGCACACTGCACGCGGGGATGGGGCCAACTTCGGGTAGCTGCTCCCCAGCCTGCTGCTGTGCTCGTAGCGGTGCGTGGACTTGGCCTGGGTCCACTCGCCTCGCCTCTGAGCCGAAGTGAGATTGCGCCATCCCTTGGCCAGGTCGACGCTGGCCCCCGAGTGCCTCATCTGATACAGGGTGACGGGGGCGACTCCGAAATCCTCCGCCGCTTCTCTCAGCAAGGCCGACGCTTCGGGGCAGTCGAAATTCCACAGCGGCCCCTTCGAAGCTGCTGAGCTCAACCGTCTGAACACTGCATCCAAGCCCTGGAGGTACGGAGAGCCCAGCGGGCATCCCTCGTCGAAGTGGCCCCTTTTGCTGGGATTCCCCCGCTCCCGCGGGTGGGTCAGCAAGGCCCAGTGACGGCTGACCCCTGTCGTCGGGGGGGCGAGGTCGCACCTCCGGGCGGCCAGCAAGGTCGAGGGCCGCGAGCGAATAGGTCGAGACGCCGACCATGAGGAAGAGCGCAAGCCGAAGATGCCCTCGACGCACCAGCTTCCACGCCAGGCCGCGCCAGATCGGGAGGGCCAAGGCCTTTCGCCGCCGCCCAGGGGTCAGCCTGCGCCAGGCTTTGAGAGACCGCCAGGCGCGGGGCAGCTTGCGACCCCCGGTTCGCCCGAAGTCGGGGTTCGCGCTGACCCAGGCCGCCATGGTCTGATCCCCATAGCTGCTCTGCTCGCCCTGCAAGTAATTCTCGGTCAAGTAGTTGCAGAACAGCTCGTCGATCTCTGCGTCGGCCTTCGCGAGGATGTCCCCCCGCCTCAGGCCGACACGCGAGTAGAAGACATCGAGGTGGCGCTGGCACCCCACCAGCGTCGGCTGCGTCACGGCCAAGGTCTCCAGGAGGCCCACCCCGGCTTCCTGAGCAGCAAGGATCGCATCGGCGCACAGCTTCGCTCGCCTCTGCGCCCTCCGAGCGCGCAGCTGCCGCATCCGCGCGCGGCCGCGCCCCAGGTGCTCGATCACCGAGTCTGAGCCGCTGGAGCTGCTGTCGCCCTCGGCGGCCTCCCCTCCGTCTCCAGCGAGGTCCTGACCGCTGGCGCCCCTGTCGTCGAGCGCCGAGAAGTGCCGCTCCTTCCGCGCCGCACTCGTTGGCACAGCGGAGGGAGCCGGCACCAGTGCACGTCGGCGCCCTGCAGCAGGCGGGGCGGCCGGCGCCTGGGCGCCCCTCGGGCCAGCCCGCGCGCGGCTCGCCACGTGTCTGGACGCCAGTGCCCGCGAGCCCCCCGCTGTCCGTGGGAGTCTATTGCCTGTGGGCGGCGTCGGCTCCCGGACGACAAGCGCACTGGGCCCTCGCAGCCGCTTCGTACCCATGCTCAGAGCTCTCTACATTGATCGGAAGCTCGGCGATGGTGGCCAGAATCGAAGGTTTTGAGCCCAAAATCCCACTGACAGGACTAACAGACACGTCTGGTTCGGGGACGGCTCTTGGAGGACGGGCTTGCGTATTCAAACTGGCCTCAAACTTATCGTCGAGAAGAGATGTTACTTTACTACTGTCGCTCTCTGAAAAAAAAACCTGCTGCCTTCGTCACTCTCATTAAACTCAGAGGGGGCCCATCGAAAGGCGGGTGAGAGGCCCAACGCTATGGCATGAGCATAGACACGACGAATCTGAACCAGAAAACTGAAGCATGAGGATCGGGCCCTCGAAACAGAAAGCATCACAGACATGTTATCTGAAAGGGAAAGCGAAGCACACTGATTCCACGCGAGGTCTTGGCCAACCTCTGGACTGCTTTAACGAGGGCCCTGGCCTCCAGGATCAAAAATGCCTTCGGGAAACCGCCAGATCCCTGAGCGGACCGTCTCCCAGGCCCCTTTTCGGAGCCACTCCCAGGGGACTTCGGAAAAATCAGGATCAACTTCCCAAGCGGACAAATCATCGGGCTCAGAGGAATCCTCATTTATCACACTCTCGATGCTGCGGGTCACCCCTGAGCTATCTTGGACCAGGCTGGCGGCTGCGAGCGCCCTCTCTGGCGCAGGCCTTCCCTGCGCTGAGCGAAAACAGGCTCGCTCGGGCAGCCTCCCGACCTCCTTCACCACGCGGAGCGGCCATAAGGACTGTGCCATGCCCCAGCCGCTCTCGCTGGCGTCGGTCTGGAGCGCGGAGCGGTTCCAAGGGCGCCACCAGTCCTGCACCATCAGCACGAGCAGGACGCGGAACATCTCCACCTCCTCCACGACCTCGGGCCGCAGACGAGCGGGCTCGAGGTAGCACCGCTGGATGAAGCGGCAGGAGGCGCGCCAGCAACCCAACGAGCCCCGCAAGGCTATTTCACAGCAGGTACAATGACCGAGCACCATCTCCAAGGCCTGCCCCGTCGCGCGGCCGCGCGCGAGCAGGTGCACCTTCCAGAACCGGCCGTCGCTCACGCTCGATCTCATCAGCTCGAGGCCCAGCTTGGTCCCCAGAGCCTCGCACGGGCCTGAGGTCACGGAGCTTTTGTGCAGGTCGAGGCCGAACCCCTCAAAGAGCCCCGTCCACTGGTCGAGGACCTCCTGCGCGGTGGTCTCAGACGGGGTGATGACGCCTAGGTTGTCGACATACACGTAGGCCCTTCCAACACGGCCAGGCGTGACGTCCATGACCAGAGGGGGCCCTCGGTCGCTCATGGGCAGCCTCTCCGAGATCGCCATCTCCCCCCGGCCGAAGCTTCGAGCTGGCCGCTCTCTCCTCGTTGGCATCCTGCGCCAAGAAGAGCGACCGCGAGAAGCCCATGGGGAGCGCTCCGATGCATGGAAAGACCAGGGTATCAGGCCTCAGTCATGCTCAGGTACACGTTCGTGGCCGTCTTCGCGGGCGCCGACGACGACAAGGACGGCGCCCCTCTCACCGAGGAGCACAAGCAGGAGAGGGCCTTTGAGAGCCATGAGGGAGGAGGTGGCGTTGCACGTCGACAAGGCGGAGTACGACGCCCAGGCGCGGTTGTTGAAGCAGCACAAGTATGGGGCCACGATCCTCGTGAGGGGTGTGCCGAAATGGCCCGAGGCCGCCATGCGAACCCTGCCACTGGCGCCTTCGGTGGAGCTCCCTATGGGGCCACGATCCTCGTGAGGGGTGTGCCGAAATGGCCCGAGGCCGCCATGCGAACCCTGCCACTGGCGCCTTCGGTGGAGCTCCCTATGGGGCCACGATCCTCGAGAGGGGTGTGCCGAAATGGCCCGAGGCCGCCATGCGAACCCTGCCACTGGGCGCCTTCGGTGGAGCTCCCTGATGGGGCCACGATCCTCGTGAGGGGTGTGCCGAAATGGCCCGAGGCCGCCGTGCGAACCCTGCCACTGGGGCCTTCGGGGGAGCTCCCTATGGGGCCACGAAACGATGCACTGGGTGGGTGAAACGCAGGGAGGAGGGAGGAGGAGGAGGAGGAGGAGGAGGAGGAGGAGAGGAGGAGGAGAGGAGACGCGGGCCACCGTCTCTTCAAAACGAGGACCCAACACCACAGGATGGTTAAGTATCCTAACATTGGACGCCCGAAATGGGTACGGACAAAATGGGCACAATGCCGAACAGCAAATGTTGTCCCGTCCGACAACGGCCTCCGACAGGAGGGTCCTACGGAGGCGTGCCGCGGCCCAGGCTCCGGCGGTCGGGCGCGTCCAGGAGGAGCTCTTTTGCAGAGCGCTGTCCGTCAGAGCGGCCAAGGACCGGACCTGGAGGGTGCACGACCGCAGAAGCTTGCAGCGCCCCCCCCCCCGAGAGCCGAAAGAAGAGCAGTTCGCCCATCGACTGGGCGGGGCGGGGGTTCCATCGAGCTCCGAAGAAGCACGGCGGGGGGATGGAGGGAGAGGGGAGGAGGGAGGGGCGGAGGGGGCAGCGCTGGAGGGAGCGGAGTAGGGAGGGGAGAATGGAGAGGAGGAGGGAGGAGCGAGGAGGGGAGGGAGGGGAGGAGGGAGAAGGGAGGAGGGGAGAAGGGAGCGGGGAGGGCGGGAGGACGGAGGGAGAGGGGAGGAGGGGGTTGCTCCCCCCTCCCGTGCTCCAGAGGAGCATCCCCCGCGGGGGGTCGAGCGGTCGGCGGCGCGGCGCCTCGCTGGCGGTCGGGAATGATGTAGCGCACGAGCTTGGACCTGGGCGGGGGCGGGCGCCAGGGCATCGGGCGGGAGACTCGCGCGCGTGGGGGGGGGCATGGGGGGCGGGGAGAGGGACGGGGAGGAGGGGGGGGGGGCAGTGGAAGGGTTTAGGAGAGCAGGGGCGGCGAGGAGGAAGAGGAGAGGATGGGAGAAAGAGCAGGAGAATGTGGACGCGGAGGGTAGGAATGAGGGAGGA